TGTGTCATTAGATTTCCAGCCAGTGATATCAGGGTCAAAGTGATGCATATCACTTCTAAACCCAACCATATATTTCCATGATAACCTACTCACACTCTTTCTCTTCTCTGATAAACTTAGAGGCCATGTTTTTAAACATAATAGCAGCATGGGATCCCTGTATTCTTTTTTGGAGAGTCAAATTATTTATATCAGACAGACTCATGAGCAAAAGCAAACCTTTATCATATGAAGTTGATATTCTGAGTTTGAAATTTCTGAATTTATTTGTTCAGGCTTTTATCCTTAATTTTCTATACTAATTATTAAGCTATTACCTCTCCACACTAAACCCATTCCTTCTACGTTCTACCTCAAGATGCTGGGGCTGGGAGCCTTCAAACCAGATTTCTTCTTCGCCATTAACCTCTTGGTTAAGTTCTGAAAATGTTAGTGTTAAAGGCAATTAGAAATCAGGAGGAGAGAGAAAGCCCTCTCCTTGTTTATCCTCTGTTTCTCTTAGTGTCATTCTAGCATTGCTTCTTTATGTCAGCAGTGGACGTTGGGCACAGTTTCTAAGTTATTTTTTTCCACACTCTCTGAACTATCTTTATTGCACCATCCCCTCCACCCCCACTGAACATACAAAAACTGGGGTGTGCATCCCCTTCAGAAGTGTGGGCCCCAAATCCACAGGGTCCCTCCCTTGAGCTCCTGAGGTACCACATCAGCTGAGCAGCACTCCTCCTGGGAGGCCGCAACACAGTCCTGAGGGCCCTCTGCTCCAACCGCTTAGGTTCTAGCATCTTCGGCCTCCTCCCTTTGCTACTCTTCTGTATGAGTGGTTGTTACTTATTGCAGCTATTAAACTTGTACACTGTTATGACTTTTTAGTCTTCCAATACCAGATTATTCTTTCACATTATATTCTTCCTGCTAAAATTGCCCGATGTGGTTTCTGTTTTCCTGACTGCACCCCAAATTACATACTATCCAAATATAGAAATTTGTAGGCAAAGCCTGTGCTATTATAACAAAAGTCTAAAATACACAGCATTTCTTTAATAGTTGGGCAATGGGTAGCAAGAAAACTGATTTCAAAGATACTATAGAAAGCTATTTATCTGCATAGTGTTCTTGCAAAACTCTTGGCAAAATTCTTGAATGAACTTGAAAGGCAGACAGTAGGTCTGTTGGGCTGGAAACACTTGAAATAGATGGGAAAACAAAACATTCATAAAGTATGTTGACTATTATTGGCTACATTTGGCAAAGTATTAAAAGAGAAACGTGACTGGCTAGTGTGAAGGCAGATATGTAGAGAAATAAAGAGAATACAGAAGTTTTCAGGGCTTATTGAGCAAAACTGCTGGCTTTTTCTAAAGCCCAAATGGTGGGATATGGCATTGATGAAGGCACTGAACAGCAAAGGCCCAGTAAAAATTTTCAATTGAGCAAACAAACTCAGGGAAAATATAAAATGATTGAGAGCCAGCACCAAATAAGATTTCTCTGAACAACATATCTCTGGACAAAGATCAAGTAAGTTAAGGATATGGTCCTTGTACCTATTTTTCAAGACAGTACCAAAATGAGAGAGACATGGGAGAAGAGAAAGTTAAAGGCACCCCAGAAAGAACATTCTCAGATACATGGACTGTTAGGAAGCCAATAGATTTGAACCCTATTAAGATCTCAGAGAATTATAGTACTAAAATACCATGATTTCAGAAATATGACCCTTAAATATTTAAGACTTAAAATAACCTTTGGTCCCTTAATCTTTCTCAAACAGGAAAAAAAATTTTAATATTTATTTACTTATTTAATGACAGGATTTTGCTCTGTCACCCAGGCTGGAGGGCAGTGGTGCAATTATAGCTCACTGTAACTTCAAACTCCTGGCCCAAGTGATCCTCCTGCCTCAGCCTCCTGAGAAGCTGGGACTATAGGTGGGTGCCAACCTGCCTGGCTATTTTTTTTTTTTAATTATTTTTTGTAGAGATGGGGTCTCACTATATTGCCCAGGCTAGTCTTGAACTCCTGGGCTCAAGCAATCCTTTTGCTTGGGCCTCCCAAAGAGCTGATATTACAGGTGTGAGACATCATGCCTGGCCTCAAATAGGAAAACAGTATCTTAAGGCTATACAGCCCTAAATGGGCACTTCAAATGTAGACAAGGAGAATAATGGAAAGGTTAAAACTTCTAAGATGGGATAGCTAGAAGCTAGAGATAACTTCAGACAAGGAAGATATCTCAGGGAGCTGGTCAGAGCATATTCAAGGATCTTCTCTGATCTATAGATTGGGCAGAATTTATAATGTCTGTCCAGTAGGATTTCACCTGTGTTGGCCACGTGTAATAGATTCTTTCTCTTTCCAAGCTGTTTATTGTGGTTTCTATCTTCCCATTCTTCTCTTGCATATTAGGTATATGTTGGAAATAGGTTGCAAAATGAAGATAATTTGTTCATGAGTGACTCATTATTATCATGATCATTTAATGAGGAAAATGGCTAACTAGAGGTCACTGACTTGAGCTGAATCCAGTGACTAAAAGAATTATTTTGAGCTGTCACTCTTGAAGAGTAGTAATACCTTTTCATGAGTAAATAAAGCATGACATGAATATTTGGTGACCAGAAAGGTGGATTGTGGCAGAGATGGGCTAGATGGCACACCGATTCCATCTCCTTTTCCTGGCTACATAGGAAGGCAACATTTACAAGCCTCCCTTGCAGTTCAGTTGGGGCCATAAGATTAGGTTTTGGTCAATGGAAGAATGTCTATCAATTAAAGCTGTTCCATAATGATCCAGGCGTGAGGTTCCACATAGTCTTTTATGTTTCCTCGGTGACCTAAGAGGTCATGTTCTCATGAAGGCAGCATCAAAAGATGGAAGGAGTCTAAATCTTTAAATCATCACTTGGCAGTGAACTTACAGAAAGAACTGGCCAACACACATTAGATCATAACATGAGAAAGAGATATTTTGTTTTCTATGTTAAGAAACTGAGATTTGGGGGTTTTATGTGATAGTGTCTAGAGGTTATCCCCATAATACAGCATTAGATTTAATTAATGGACTTAATTAAATTGGTAAATTGTCTTTTTCTTTCTACAAAAACTTGAATAGGAAAAAAATAACATTAAGCAAATGAGACAATGAAGTGTAATAGAAAAAGTTTTGCTTTGAGAAGCCTGATTACTAGTAACCCTTGTATTATTTACTAGGTAAGTGACACTGGGAAAGTTAATTTTTCTGAGTCACTGTACACATCTGCAAAATGAAGCTATTATTAAGTTATTCAATTATAGGCAGAAACTCAGGACAAAAGTTTGCTGAAGGTCTTTTGTGTTTTCTGATCGATGATTCTATGAAATAGTAGTTAAACACTAAAACCACTCTAATGAAAGTACAAAGTAATTTTTTTTATTTAAAAATAGTTGGCTGTTGCCTGATACCTGAAAAAGTCCAGCCGTATGTATAAAAAATGTGTAACACATGTTTAAGTGGTGTTAATCCATGCCAAACAGTTTTATTGCAAATGATAACTTATAAAAGATCATTTGAGGGTGAGATGAGACAATGCAGATGGTAATTTCAAAAGGAATCTATTTCCTAGAACTTTGAATAGCTAATAGTGTCACATACATCTCTCCATACTCTCAGCTCTCCCCCTACAATCTAAGATGATGGAATTTAAGCAGTATTCCCACTCTCATTATTTTGTCAACTTGAAACCTATTCTTTTAGATAATCTCTCTAGAAATCCACTCACTAATGTTTATTTAGGGTCATTATTTTTGTGTAAATACTGTGGTCTGAATATTTGTGTCCTCCCAAAATTCAGATGTTGAAATCCTAACCCCTAAGGTGATGGTATTAAGAGGTAGGGCCTTTGGGGAGTGATTAGGTCATGAGGGTGGAGATCTCATGAATGGATTAGTTCTCTGATAGAAGAGGCCCAAGGGAGCTTGATTTCTCCTTCAACCATGTGAGGGCACAGTGAGGAGGCACCCTCTGTGATCCAGAAAAGTGGGCCCTCATAGAAACCAAATCTGCCAGCATCTGGTTCTTGGACTCCCAGCCTCCAGAACTGTGAGAAATAAATTTCTGTTGTTTATAAGCCACCAGTTTATGGTACTTTGTTATAGCAGCCTAAACAGGCTAAGACAGTCAATGGATAAAAATTGTCAAATAAACCAAAAGTAAAAAACCTAAATGATTCTTTGCTTGTATTTAATTATATGTCCATAGCTAATAAATAAGGCTAAAAAATTTGTATACTTATAAAATGACAAAATAATAATTATTAATAAAATATATCTAACAACAATTTAAAAGTTAGAGGTTAAATGGAATTTTTCTTCTTTAAATCAAAATGAAGAATGTTGCAGCCAAATCTAAGCAAAGAACATTTAAAACTCCCTTTGCTAATGTATTCTTAATCACTGGAAAATAATGGGTATCTAAATCCAGGCATTGAAACTTCAAGCCGAAAACAAAACATGAAAGGATATATTATTGATTTGTTATTCAAATGACTTTTGTAATTGTTTAATTCATAATTTGTTGTGAAAATTATGATTTTAATCCTATTACTCAGACATTTTTAGAAAAAAATGGAAACAAACAGAAGGTATGTTTCTGATTATTTTTAATCTTCTTTAGATAACTCTTGTTTTTCCTCTACTGATTCCATTATACAGTATAGAATTCAAGAATACAAATTTTAATTTAAATATTCATTTAAAGTCACTAACATAAGAAAAGAACAATGACCAAAGTGACAGAAAGAAGAAGAAATAGTTGTAATTTGAATTAAATTCTAATATCCTATGACATTAAGATTTTTAATGTCTATTAATTAAACTGAATCTATACGAACAATACAGTACAAATGCAAATACTATTGTAAACAAAACTAACATTTACTTAGAGGGTCATCCCTCTCACTATTTCCTTAGGGCTCTATTTACATGCAAGACATTTTGAGATAAAATAACTTTCCACTCACCAATGTGGAGGTTTGTGAGGCATCAGCCAAATCCCCTGAGATCTCGGGTGTTCGTGTGTTGTTTGGAATTCTGTGAGGGTTACGGGCTATCGCTTCACACCAGCCCAGCATTTTCTCCTTCCTCTTATCCCTTTTCAATTTCTGAAATTCTGAAAATAATTTACATTCCCTGAAACAGGTCGCTTATTTTAGTTGTGTTTTGGAAAATATACACAATTAAAATCAAATCAACAATATAATGTAATACCAGTGAATATTTTTTTAACTAAGGATTATTAAGAATGAAAAGAAGAATGTGCTGATTATTAATAATATCCTAAAGTAACAGGGTCACAGGACAATGGAAATAGTATACATTTTTTCAAAGGCCCTGACATCTTTTGTACCCTTGTTTGTGACATTTGTAGACAATGGGCATTCCTTGTGCCAGGTTCTAAGTGTTATTTGCAGATATCAGTTTATAACAATAAGTTCTTATCCTGAGAGCTAACAACAGAGCCAGTTCCTGATAATATCTACATATTTTAATAACATCCAAAATTTGGCATAGCTTTTCAGTTGAATATCCTACAAAAGCAGAATAAAATGGAAACAGGGCAGTGACAAAGGTTATTCATTCTAGCAGTGCAACGATTCTCTCTCTCATAAAGTTCTGCCAACTAAACAAGGAAAAATTTTATTGTATGTATGATAAATTTAGTATATGACATCTATCACCAGTATAATCTATTCAAAAGTAATAATTAAAAAAAGAAACCCTCCTCCCTATGACATGAGTAGAAATAGTCCCACAGCTCTTTCTAGCTTTCTAAAACTTTCCATTTGGGGGAATGTTTTATCTCTGAAAAAGTCATATCAACAATGACTTTTAACATAATGGAGAAACATGGTTTCCTTTGTAAAGTTTTACAGCCTACTTTTCCACTCCACCACCCTCAGTAATTAGAAATAGTTTATTGCAGGTCTTTAGTTAAATGCATTACACTGTCAATTAAATATCAAAAATAATGTGGAGTAATTATTTTTCACAGCATCCAAAGCAATTAGCAATCTGGTGGTTTATAACATTTCAGGGATTCAGAATTGCACATTTCATAGCACGAAGAAAAGTAACATAAAGAACGGTTGCACTAACAGATTGATGAGTTATTACTCTAAATGACAAAATACTCAAGTGGATCTGAGCAATGTAAATAGGGAAGTGATTAAAAAAAATCTTTTATAAAAATAAGTCTAAATACTCAATGGAATGGATTTCTTAATAAGACCAGCATTCTAATATAAGTGACTTATTGATTGGAGATACAGAGAAACAATAAGGGGAACTTGAAAACAACTATTTGAATAAGCAACAAATTATTAGTGCTTGTTCTTTCAAACACATTGCTTGTGATTTTATGGAAAATTCTTATCTACTTAATATGAAATCTGCATATCCAACTAATTTGTACTCCATAAAAAGTAAATATTTCCACATTCCCAGTATATATTATCTTGGTTACTCAACAGCTTTTAATTGCATTTCTTGAAGTGTGCTAAGAGTGAGTGAAAATGAGTATCTTTATTCAAAGGCAAGGAGAGAAATGATACATAATGACCAAAACAGTGAATCAAGTATAAACAAATGTTGTACTTCTAAGTCATTTACCACTTACTTTTTACAATTTTAATTCTATAATTAAATATCACTTTAGTACTTAAATGTTCAATTCATGCATGGATAAAAAGTGTAATGGTGTGGCCCACAAAATTATGATGCCAACAGTATCAGTTCTGAGATATTTTTATAAAGGCCGATAACTTCTAATTTCCATCCAGACTCTTTTTGATATGGTGGTGGCAGTAGCTGTGTCACTCCTTCTTCAGGAAACATTAATGCATACATATTTATTAAGCCCCTACTATTTGCAGTATTGAAGTAGGCATGGAAGAGCCATAAGATGAGGATTACTTTCATTTTTTATATGAGTTGAGTTCAGTGCAATAATCTACTCTGGAGAATTTTAAAGGACAAGAACTACTGGGATCTTTCTGATCTCTAATTTTTGGAAATATAAACTTATTTGGCCAACTCCAAGATGACTGACTGTTTCTCCTGATCTTAGATATCTTCCCTGAAGCTGGCTTGTATAAATCATCGTTTTGAACCATTTTGTTGAACTGTTATTGACAAATTATCATGACAAAAGCTATTTTGGCTATACCTGGTGAAGTATTATAATAAAATGTCAACTGAATTTTAGTTTTCTAGTGAGTGTAGTAGTTACTACCTTAACTTTAGAATGATTAGCTAGACTAAATAATTCAAAAAGTTAAAATACATACTTTTTATATAAACAACGTGTTACTAATAATCACTGTACTGACTGTTATAGGAAAAAAAGAAACGTGATACATGGCTATGGACTGGAAAGCTTATAATTTAACTTGGACATATAGAAATATTTACAAAGGAAGTTGAATGTGTGACATGAGAGAGAGCAATCCAGCTACACAGCTTCGCTTCAGCTTTTTATTACATTAATGAAAAATATATGAGAACATTAAGAAGGCCTATGATGGTTGCATTACTACATCTGGACATTCATATCACACTGTAAGAGAGTAATTTTGTTTAATGACTTGCTCTGTATATTACGCATCTGCTGACTTTGTTGGATGCTTTAGAATCAGAGCATCAACCCCTGGAAAAGTCAATATTTAAATGGCTTTGAAGGAAGTGGAGTAGGTATTGGTGAAAATTGGAAGGAAACGAGAGGGGATAAAAAAAGGAGAGATCCACCGCCTACCCCCTAAAGTCCCTGTGGGTAAGGGACCATTATAATTGCATAATAATAATATTTTCTTTTCTGTTATCACAAAACACTTAATTTTGGATCGCATTTCAAATAATTTTTTTTTTGCGTCATTGATGCTAAAGTAGATATTCCAGAAATAGTTTAGGTGAGTTGAGAGAACTGAAGGGTTAAAAATGTTGATTGCTGAGCCTCTGAAGACCAGCCTTCTTCCCACACAGGTCTGAAGTACTCATCATACTCTTAGGTATAAGAATGTACTGTCAGCCAGAAGGACAGGCAAATTATGAGCATTTATAATTAACCCTAAAGCACTTTAAACTGTAAGTATCATCAGCAATATATCAAAATGGGAAAGTGGTCATTAAGCATTCATGTTAATTGCTATCTAACCACTGAACCAAGCTAATATGAGAAGCAGCAATGAGCAACTTATATAATGATCACAGGAAATTGAGATTTAACTAAGCTTAATTTTTAATATGCTATTTCAAGCAGATATTTAATTTAATAAATAGGAGCATAGTGCATTCTCTGTGAACTAAATTGACAACAAATTAAAATTAGGGAAAAAATGCAAGGCAATTGGGTGTATCTTATGGAGAATAATTTACTTTTAATTCACGAACATTTCCTTTGTGCCAGACACTGTGCTAGAAACCATAGGTACAGAGGAGGAAAGAGAGTCAGAGCTTAGTGTTAGAAGGGGAAACAGACAAGTAAGGTAACTTTTACAGGATAGTGTGATAAGAGCTATGTATGCGAGCAGTACATGAGTACGGTAAAAACTGAAAAAAGACATTTAACTTAGCATCAGGTGCAGGGGAAGATTGATTTTTGGAAGAGGTAAAATTACAAGTAATTCACATGAAAGTTAAAAAATGTTGCAGTTTCAAAGGCCTCTGCCACTACAAGCTGTGTTGCACAACCCCAGGGGGGATCATTCACACTGCAATCCACATAAATGACTCTGCACTCTGAGGGATGCTCCTCATATTAAACACCATGTACATTGTGCACCTGGAGTTGTGCAACCAGGAAAAATCAGCACTGATATGCTGATTTCTCCAACTGAATCTTTTTACCCTCACCCTATTTTACCCCAAGTCTAATGTGATTGAATTTTCAAAGCAGAAATTTGTTTGCCACAGAAAAAATACAGTTTCTTGCCTATACTTTTCTCTCTACCTCCTCAACCATTTCTTCCCTCAAATTTGTCCATTCCGTACCATATCCAGGAAAGTGTACTTAAGGTCAAGCTAAATAATCCCTTTTTTCACCACATACATACAAATGTGAAAGTGCCCCTTCATCCTCAAATCTGAGACTTCAGAATGGCCATTGTCTAAGAATTAGAAGAAATTTTTCAATTGAAAAAATTTCAGAGATTTGACTATGTATTTGTGTAACTAACATGTGGTTAAGAAATTGATGTCTAAACTACTGGACACCCCATCACCAGAATAGTAATAAAGTTCAATTTCAATTATAAAAAAGCAACTTACAAAAAAGAAAAGGAAGGCATCATTAGAAATATTCTTCCTTTCCCCATTAGAGTGTATATTTCTGAGAATTAATATTTGTTCCTTGGTGGGGTGTGTGTGTGTGTGTGTGTTTGTGTGTGTGTATGTTCCATGAGTTACTCCCTAGATACTCAGAAAACTTTAACATACATGCCTACCACTCTCAGCATCTGCTGCTGTACACCTCTGAAGTACTTAGACACAGCTATGAATTGTTCTTGAAGACTCATAGATCACTGAGTACTTTTGGTTGGGGATGAATGTTGCAAGTCTTTAGACCAGATAACCAAATTGGTTAAATGTCCTGCTATGTAATGGAAATGTGTCCTGGGGCCTTCCTGATTGCTCTGAGTAGGATGTTGGATTTCTCAAATGGACGGAAAGATTCATATTTGTATTCTAGGAGGTAGAACAGTAACTGACATAGAGCCCAGTAAATACTCATTGATAATACAATGAATGAGAAGATAAAGAAGTGTTCTAATTTTTCAAACAACCATAATGTGAGTCATAGTGAAGGTTTAAAATTTTTGGTGCTTTTTCTTAGACTGTCCTGAAAGATATATTTAGTACATAGTTTCCTTTAAAAAATTATCCATCTACCTTGGAATTTCTTTTTAAAGCACCAATCTTTCTGTGAAGTCTGACAAACTACTTTCACCTTGTGAGGTGGCATAGTAGTGAATTAAGAAATGACACAATGAAAGGGAAATGAGGCTCTTGTTCCCTCCTCTGCTGAGACAGTGCAGACAGAAGCTTTTTGAGGAAACAGTCCTAGCCACAATATAAACTGTAACACTGGAGACCCCCAGAAACAGGAAGAAGGAGTGT